AAAAATAAATTTATATATATATATATATATATATATATATATTATATATATATATATAACTATATATAAAATAGTTATATATGTGTGTGCGGGTGTACATATATACACACACATATAATGGCCCTACATATGTGTTGAAAGCACTAACCACTCAAAAAAAAAAAAGTCAAGATAGTTTTTAGTAATATAAACTCAGATTTTAGATAAGTGGAGGAAACAAACCTGTCCCCATGTGAAAGCTGCTTTCAAGTGCCATCAGAGCCCACTTTTCTAAGACTGACTGGCTCATAAAATACTTTCTAATAGATTTCATGGCTTTCTTAATCCTGCTTATCATACATTGAAACTAACTTGACAGTGACATTGCTAATACCCCTCTTTCAACGAAACGTTTCAGAAAGCTATCTCAAAACCATACGAATGTGAGGAGGACTAAAATTGCAATTTGCTATTAGACCTAGGCGTACGTCTGCACATGCTCTGTGGGATCGGTGCTGCGGTCTGAGACGCCTCAGCTTCTCTGCCGACAGCCACACTGCCGTGTCCAGGTGAAAGGGAGAAGGGTGGGGTGGGGGTGACGGAAGAGGACGCGCAACTGTTTGCTTTTATTGGGAGAGAAAGAACCTCTCCTAGATTATGCTTAATGTTTAGTTTTCCTGGTTATCACTATCTTAGCCACTATGAATTGAAAATGCTATTAGCAGTTAAAATGCACATTAAGTTATCCAATCCTTTTAAAAACCTAATCAGATCATTTATCTTAATTTCTCATAGCAACCAATTCTGATGGATATGTCTACATTCATCTCAATTGTGCTGCTGTGATTTTATTACCATGAACTTAAAGGACCTATACAGGGAGGCGGGATGAGCCCATCCTATACCTACAGAATTAAAACGCGCAGAAAACTTAAACCACTATTTTTCTTGTTGCACTATAAAATGCAAAGCAAATATGAATAGCACATTTTCAAAGGGATGAACTTACTTTCAGTGCAAATAGGACAGCATCCTTTTCTATTGAGAATTTTACCCTAATCAAGAGAAAAAGAAATAATAGGTTAGTGTTAAGAAACAGGGTCTGCTGAGGACAAAAACTTCTTTTTTAAATCTAATAGCAGATAAAGCAATGAAGTCAGTCCAAGCCATATTTGAACTCAATGCCCAGATGGTGATGACGATGGTAGGAATGAGTGTCAAGCATCAGGTTCCAAGGGCAGGCGAAGGCATTCATAAGGCGTTCCTGTTCTTATTCTCCAGGAAACACAATACCTATAGGACTCGGTGTGATTTTTCTCACGTGGAGGGAAGATGGAGACAGTCTGGACTCAACCTTTTCGCTGGTACCCAGGTCTAGCCCTCTAGAGACCAAGTGCACACACATAAAAGTGGGAATTGTCTGTCAACCTATCAGTCCATGCAAGGTCTTCTCTCTGTCTTTGCTTGTTGGAGGCGCCCAGACAATAAACTGCAATCTGAGCTCCGGACTCATCTGGTCCTGTGCATATGGGCAATATCTGTGCTACAGATCAAATTCAGCCAATTTCTTCTTTCAGAGAGTGGGATGTTATCCATGCCAAGTCACTGTTATGTAGTCAAAGCCACGGAAGCTGAGAGTTTTGAAATGCTGAGTATTTTTCCATTACCTTTCTGGAAACACAGTACAATTTCCTACACTATATGTCTCTTAATTTTTTAATGCATGACATTTAAAAGAAGAGTCATATTCTCTGGACCCATATCAGAGCATAGCACTGTCTTATCTCTGACTCAGTGGTTAATCACTGAGAAAAAGAAAAATGGAAGAAGATTAACAGTTAAGGAGTGCTTGCTATGCAACAAACATCCCACTAAATATTCTACTTAGGTTACCTAACAACTGGTTAGTTATGAGGATTTATTGAGTTACTACTTGTAACACATGAAGGTTGAGTGAATATTACAGATTATTATAATCGTTATTATCAAGATGCACAAGAACTTTATGAGCTGATTATTTCCCTTTGTGTAGGTGACAAAATTGATGTCATGCAACATGGGGGTGGTAGAATCCAAAATCAAACCTGATTTTGTATGACCTTAAAGGCCATGTTCTTTCCACAGCAGAATTTCATCCTTTCTAATCCTTTATCTTTAAGAGAATCTAATATTTGTTGAGTGCCTGCTGTACACTAAACAGTGCTGTGCATTCCTCACAGTTTATCCCATTTAAACTTCACAGCAAGCTTCCAGGTACAGGTGTCCTTAACCACTGTCCACAGAGAACTAAGGAATCAAGCCACAGAGAGGTTCCCAAGGCCCGTGTCAAGGCCACACAGTCATGTGCTGCTGATTCACTCACTCACTGCTAGCCAGTTGCATCAGGGGTAGGTTTAAGTACTCAAAAAAGAAATCATATTGACTTTAAAATGCTGGGTAATTATTGAGGAACTAGAACCAGCTCTGACTTATCTTTGCATCAGGTAGGCCTAAAATGGTGCATTAAAGGCTGTGATGACTGAATGAGATTTGAAACTCAGCCCCACTTAGCCACCCCATGGTTTGGGGGCATCATGACATATTTTCATTGCCTAAAGCTCTGCCATCTATTTCTACTGGGAACAGAGGTCTCCTGTAGTTTCTCATACCTGAAAGCAGTTGAGGACAAAGCCAAGCGAGGTCAGCCGGCCTGTGGAATGCTGGCCCCGGGAGGACGGAGGGGGTGCTCCACCCCGATGGAGCAGGGCTGTTCAAAGCCGAGGCCCCCTCCACCCGTGACTGTGACCCCCGCATCTGCACCTCCGCACAAACTGCCCTCTCCCTTCTTAGGAAAATGAAAGTGGTGCTGGAAACATCGCTGAATTGGACGGGGGATAAATCGAGGGCAAGCTGTGAAGTCAGAGCACCAGGGGCACACATGATCCGCTGCGGGACGCTGGCCACGTTGTCGCCTCGTCTGTGAGAAGGCGGAGTGACGGCACCTCAGAGGAGGGGTCTCAGCGTTCAATGAGGTCAGTCCCACGACTCCAGAGCAAGTGTCAGCATGTTTTAGCTGTGCTGAGATAGCAGTGGACACAATCGTCACCTGAACGCTCACAGTCCTTCTCACAGGTGACACTGCTCTGCCTCAGGGAGAGTTGTCAGACAGGGTAGACGGGGACGCAACCATGAGGACCTTCTCCAACAAGACACACACCTCTGGACAAGAGACAGGTGGTGGCCAGGAAGGATGACGCAGGCTGCTTCTCTTTTCTCTTTATTTCCCCAGACAACACGGGGATGGGAAGTTTTAGCAAGATTTCCAGGGTAGAGCTGAGTGATCTTCCAAAGACCTTGAGCTGGCCCCCGAGAAGGGAAAGTGTGAACTGGAGGAGGGGCTGGCACAGGACAGAGAGGCGGGGCAGCAGGGGAGTGGCCTTCGCCTGGAGGGACCCATACTCCCAAATGTGGTCCAGAGAGAAGGAAGCTACCAAGAGGCTGGCGACACACACAGCATGACCTGCCTGCAGCAGGAGGGCATGAAAACCATCCACCCCGCTGCAGGCAGCAGAACTCGAGGGAAGCTGGGAACTCCTCGGCGGCCTGCTGAGGCTGGTTAGCGGAGCCACCAGGTTGGCACAGCACCCTGTTTTTGTCTTGTGGAATAGGAAGCCCGTTATTACTAACATGTGCTGCGAGAGTTCATTAGCAGTCAGGTTCCCTGGGGACTGGCATACATGATGCAATCCCATTTTTCCCAATGAATATTTATAAGAGACCATGTTCAAGTCCACTTATTGTATCTCCCCCCTTTTTTTCTTTTATGGGAGGTTTTCAGTTTTATGTCTGAGGCTTTTTAAAGCAAGACTAATTAGGGTTTTTTTTCCCCCTTTTTCCCTCCCTCCTGTATTCAGTTGTGCAATAGCGGCAGCTGTTGTTTTTTGTGCCTCATTTGGCACTCAAGGAAAAATGCAACTTTTTGTTTATAATAATAGCAGATGTTAATTAAATGAAAAGCTGTCTACAACAGAGATGGAGGCATGCACTGAATATATGCTTTTTTTTTTTTCATTCTCAGGAAGTTATTGAATAGGTTTGACATTTTCCCAAAATGCATAAAACCTTGAAAGGTTTCAAGTTGCTGAGGTGAATTCAATGAAGCTCATGCTTTAGAAGATAATGGTTGCTTTATTCAGTGTGCTGGAACTATGGGTTTTTGAAAAGAGATATTTCCATAAGGACACGATTTCCATTTGGGGCTACAGTGGAAGCCAGGGTTAGAGAAAGAAAACTTCAGCAGAGGGCCTAGGGTTGCTGTTAGGCAGGAGAAATCCCTTAGGGAGTCTGTTAATAAACAACCACATATTATCTGAAAGGCTATTAGAAGAAAGCTCTGATTTGAGAAGGGAGAGAAAGGAAGAAAAGGCAAGAGACGGTTATGATGTTAAACAGAAAACCCAATAAAAGAAAACAAGGAGCTGATCTAACAGGAACTGGAGAAGTTTTAAAAAAGAATTAGGAGAAGTCAATAAGAAATCAGAGAGTTGGGACAAGGCAGGGCCAGAGCTACTTTCCTGCAAGGCTAGAATCTGGGTGGGAACTGCACAAAAGATGGAGCAAGCTTTGCAAGGGGCATTTGGCTATTTAGGAGCAGCAACACTTGGGGGATCTGAATTCTGGGCTCAAAAGATGGCATGCAACTGTGCCATACATGGGACATTTCCCAAGACACCAAGGTAAAGAGACAGCCAACCTGCATTCCAAACGCACCTGGGGGCAGCTGCTGATGGGCAGGCACTGCTTCTTGCGACACTCCGTCTTGCCTCTCACACAAGCACAGATGGTGCAGTTAATAGAGGACCACATCTCTCCATCCTACAGGAGACAGCACAGGATTCTGCTATCAGCTGGAGGCCCACAGGAGCTGAGCCAACAGGCTGCGATTCCTCCATGGAGGAAAATATTTCTTACCCTGAGGGACACCATCAGTACACTAAGTGACTCTGGGGTGTCTATCTACACCCAACTGATTAAAGATAAAGATGAGTGAGGATTTCAGGGCATGCGTATGAGCATGTGTGCATGTGTGTGTGTATGTGTTACCTCTCCAGGATATAAAAAGAATTCTTGTGTGTCCAACTAAGTCATGTTGGCATCTTGCACTGTTTACTTAGTTTTACCCTAGGAGACAACCAAGCATGAACTTTCATACATGACGCAATAACAAAGACCTAACCTCCCCTTGTTTGATAGGACTGAAATGTTTAAGCTGTACCAGGCACCAGCAGTTAATCAAGATGTCCAGAGTGTTCGTTCATTCTCACATGTGCCATGGTTCTGGACCATGCGAGGAGCAGAGGCTAATCCAACTGATTCCAGTGCCCAGGCAGACACGTGATGGGCAAGCCATCAAAGGATGCGGAGCTCAGACAAAAGGCTCCCAGAGCCATGCACATCCTGCCTCTGCCTGCCTGGTACTCTCGTTTCTCTCAAAAAGCAGAATAGCACTTTGGGACACATTTCCGAGACTAGGCCCTTGCTCGGACAGGAAGAGCTATTGGAGGAAGTTCTTTGGTGGACTGGATTTATAACCAGCCATTGCCAAGTGTCCAGTTACAAGAAGCCCTTGTACATCTGGAGAACAGGCAGGGATGTGCATCCTTGCTTGAAGGAATAAAGATCCCTGACAACAGAGTTGAGCCTGAGAACAAAACAAGGACTCTTTCCTGGGCTTGCAGGTCCAAATAGCAGATTTTGTTAAAAACAGAGAAACAAGTTCAGATCTTTGACTCTTCCTCTTCCTCTTCCCTTCCCTCACTGTTTGAAGCTGTTTTAAAGACTTCCTACCATCCAGAGCCTTTCAGGAAAGAAAGACCTAATTGATCTACCTTAAAGGGCACCTGACACTTCCAAGTTCTCCGAGGACACATTTCTAGGACTCGGTGTCTCTGTAAATTAGTCCACACCTCAGCATTTGCAGGAACCTTTTTACAAGGTGACTTGAAAGTACGTGGCACGCAACGCCACCGTGAGAGTGAGTCTATTCCATCCAGGTGCTCTGGAGACAGACAGGAACTTTACAGTAACAGAGCCATATGAGTGGCTCCAAAGCCTAGTGTACATACAACACACACGCATCCCCCTATGTTGGGCATGACATGTCCTGTCTTCTCACTGATTCCAAAAGAACCAACACCTCTCCCACCAACAAGGAGGTGTGGTCCGGGGCAGCACAACTGAGCGGCTTGTGAGGAACCTGATTCTCGTGGGTACCATGTGGCAACACCTTCAGGCACAGAGTGATTCCCCCCACCCCTGGGGAAAACAGACTAGGTGGGAAGTACTTTGGACAGAGCCAAAGATCTACATTCTGAAGTTTCAGTGGTCCCTGCACAATCCCACATGGGGTCCTCAGAAAATAACATAAAACACCTGAGAAGGATAAGAGCTGGCCACAGACAACCCTATTGTTCAGCTGGAGCAGGGCGCTCTCGCCTATGCTCGGCTGCTGTGCTGGCCATGCACACATGAGCACTCTCACCTGAACATCTTCCAAATGAGAAAACTTTTCTTTGAAAAGGTAGCTTTGTGAAAATCTTCTAAAAATATCAGGCTGTATAGCTCCATCAGGATCTTGAGAAGGATCATCATGTTGGTAAGTGTCACTGAGCACCTCCAACTGGTTGAGGTACCCCTGGGCATTAGAGCACCCACAGCTCACCAGCTTTCAGCTCAGTCCCACTCACTGGTGGCCACATTTGGAAAAGGCAATAATGTTTTACGTGTTCGAAACATTTCAGAAAACAACAATAAAGCAAAGGAAACATTTATCAGAATTGCTCCTCTGCCCCTACCTGCACTTGATTCTAAATACATATGTAGATATAATATTGTAATAAATAAATACATTATACTGTATATATGCACACATACATATGTAAATGTACATGCAAATTATGGAATAGTCCAATCTGCATTGTGTCTGGAGCTTTTTCATAGTCAGGGCAGGAGTACGTAGTTCCCATGAGCTTGGCTCATGACATACCTGGAAAATCTTGTTCCCAAACTTGCACACTTTGGTGTCCTCCAGGGGTACTCGCAGGAGACAGTCTTCACAACAGCCCCCCTCACCTCTGTCGCAGCTGCCAGGGCGGGAGCACTTCTTCTTACATACCACAGTAGAGTCCTGGGGACCCAAGGCAGACTAGAAATCAGAAATGATTTTCACCTCTACCAAGCATCCTACCTAGCCTCCCTTTAACAACCCACAACTAACTGTTTTAAAACATATTCTGTAGGAACCATATTTTAATTTATGGAAATAAGTCTTTCATTCACTTCTAAATGCTATTTGTTGATTAAATACCTGGACTAGAGTACAAGGGGGCTGTGGAGAGTGTGGCATACAATCTCCACCTTCCGAGGGTTTACAATTCCATGAGGCTGATGAGGCTGCACCAGCCAGCCTGTGGCAGGAAGGCCCCGCTCGCCAGGGGCCTGCCCCCTTCCTCTTTTACATCCTGCATGAACAGTCTCCCCTGCGTCTCCTCCAGCCTTTATGCCACCTCTTGGAATTTAATGTGAAGGCAGGATATCTTTGATCAGAGAGTAAAAGTTCACAGCCAGTGCAATGCCTCAAGATGAAATTCCTCAAGTGTGTTCTGTGTTTACAAAGAAACTGAAGGACCAACTCCAAAACTGTACCTGGGTTCTAGAGCTCTGCCATAGACGGTATGAACTTGATCAGGCCACTTAGCCTCTGAGGGTGACAAGCTTATATCTGTAACTTAAAGGAGTACGGCTTGATTTCCAAAGAAATGCCTTCCCTCCGATTACTTCTCAGGTGTACTGTGCATTTTAAATGTAAACTACCTGGCACATAGAAATTATTACCAAGTCAACTCATAAATTGGGAAAAAATTAATCCTTTGTCAAACTGCATGTTCTGATCTTTAGTTTGAAAAACAAGGGCACTCACTGGGTCTCAAATAATGCTTACTTCACTGTAGCTCTCCCAGCTTTCATTATATATACATATATATATCATATCTGCACATAAACATGTATTATATATTATATTATATACACACACGTATGTTATATGATGTGCATATATATATATGTGTATACAAAGGTGACAACGCTGCAGGGAGAGGAATCCTCAAATTTGAAGGCACAGAGATCTGAAGCCATACTGCATTCAGAGGACTATTAAACAGTTTCCTGTGCCTTCCATGGAAATCATGAGGAGCTCTGGGTGGGAATGCTGGAGTGGGAAGCTCCAAGCAGATAGAGAATAATACTGAACTCCAAAAATGATTGTAGCTTGATTCTTCAAGCACCCAATCTCTCAAAGATGACTGTTAATTCATACTCTGATTAAACAACCTCTTGAATGAAAAATATAAATTACGCTGCTTGGTAAGCCCTGGGACATATTGCCTAATCATCTCTCAAAGAATTCATGAGACCCAAAGCACTGCAAACATAACTAACTCCCGTTCACAGGATGCCTGGCTTCCTGCAATCAAGAGAATTGGAAATGGTACGTGTTTCATTAAGAACCTGGTATCCTCAACAGGAAGCCATAACCTGTGAAATTCCTGATGGAGAAAAGACATCCTGAGGTTGGAGGCCAAGACAAGGAGAAGGGGTTGCTCTGTGTTGACTGGGATAATACAAACCACGGGACGAGGAAAAAGCCTCGGGAAACTATTCTCAGGTTTACGGATTACTCCATGTTTAGTGCCAGGGCACAGACAATTGAGCCCTGAGCCAGCCTCCTCCTGAAGCGGTGCATGCTACTTACCAAAGCATGCCTCGAGTCATCAGGAACTTCCCAACGCTAATCCCAGCTGCTGACTCATAGCTGACATTAAGCAAAGCTTTTCTCTTTCCCCCTCTAGCCCTTTAGCTACTAAAAACAAAACAACAGCAATCATCAACTCCAAAATATATTATTCTAAAATTGTGTCACACAGATGTTTGGATTAACTCACTAATGAATGATTCTAAAGTCCATGATAAATGCCTCTCTTCTTGGTTTCAAAAATTAATCACTGCATAAGTACAGTCTATAAATGTGTGACATGTGTCCCTTTAACATTCTGGAGCTGTGTAATTCCTTCTTTACCAGTAATTAGACTTCTGGTTGCCTTCTGAGGAAAGTGAGCAGTGCCTCAAGTAAGACATGGTACAACGAACAACTCATAAGCACTCTCTTCCCAAGCTGCCAGGTTTATCTCGGTGACACACTGTCAACCCATGCCTTTCTTTTCACTTGAATGTGATTAAAGCCATTTTCACTGCCAGGTGTGTTACAGAATTCATCTCAGATAATTAGAGCCAGCGAACACTGCCATCTGTATTTGTCTGATTCTAGAAAATCCTCAGGACAGTCCCTCAATGTTGGGTTCTCACTCCCACGTGTTGGTCCTTGGAATATGACAGTTATAATGTGGATACTTCATATGAACTTCCTTGTGACCTTAGTGTGATTTCACTTTAAAATGTCATCAGTAATGCCTCCTGCCAGTAGCACACCATCGCCTTTGTCTATAATGTCAACACTAAAGCGCAACCTCTGTTACTGTTGAACCACAGCCTCTTGGAGCCACCTTACCCTGCAGGTGCATGCTGTGCAGTTATCGTAGAGAAATGAGGAGCCATTGTCATAAACGTCACTGCGAAAGAGGCAGCTCCCGGAAGGGAGATCAAACACTTTCCTCTGACCTAGAGAGAAACAACAGTACAGGGTGAGCAAGACAGAAGCCAGGTATGTCCCCTTTTGTCATCAGCAATTACATCATGGTACTGTTCAACATTCTCTCAAGACCAGGTAAATCCAGTGCACAAAAATAGAGCCTTGGGTGACACGTGCCCAGGGGATCTTCATGGGCCATTAAAGAGTCATAGTTAAAAAGAGTTTGATTCCAAGATGAACCTTGCAAGTGCAACAAATCTTCATTACATGTCCACCATAATGAGTCAAGATGACAAAGACACAAGCAGCCCGCACGGAGCTAACAGTGGGAAGGCAAACGCACAAGAGATCATTTCAATACAACGGTATGGTGAGCTCTGGAAAGGAGCCACCCTGGGAACTGGGGCACAGGGAGGTCAGAGGAGACTTCCTGGAGGATGTGATACCTGAGCTGCACCTCTCAAGGAGGACTAGAGCAAGAGGAGCTGACGAGACAGCATCCGCCACGGTCTGAGACTCCGTGTCCTCACAAAACTCTCCTGCTGAAACCTAATCATCAGTGATGGCATTAGGAGGTAGAGTCTTTGAGGTGTGATTAGGTCACGTGGGCAGCACCCTCATGAACTGAATGAGTGTCCTTATAAAAGAGGCCCAAGGAGACCACTCATCCCTCCCACCACATGAGGACACAGTGGGAAGACACCATCTAGGAGCCAGAATGTGGGCCTTCACCAGACACCGAATCTGGCACCTTGATCTTGGACTTTCCAGCCTCCAGATCTGTGAGAAATAGATTTCCGTTATTTAGAAGCTACCAGTTTATGGTATTTTGTGACAGCAGCCTGAACAGACTAAGACAGCATCTCAGTTAGGAAGCTGCACAGAGGCATGACGGCTGAAGCTAACGCACAGGGCGCAGAGGGGACTCCAGCTCCACGCGCCAGGAGCCCCACCTTCCATAGGCCAGCATCTCTGTAGGATTTGCTCGGTGTTCCCTGACCTGAGGATTGGATTGGCAACCAAAAGGGCCCAAAGAGCAATCCCAAATAAGGAATGCAATCCAACTTCCTCCTTCCTTTCAGTATTTGAGTTTCTACTCCCTGAAGCACATCAAAGCATTTCTGAAATGTTACTTTAACTAAGGACTAAATTAAGAAGCCAAAGATTCAAGTTCACTGATCAAATTTACATCCACACCCCTTTCTTCTTGTAAAAAGATTAATGGCAATCTGTATTTACCAGTAGGCCTAATAAAATGCTGAAAATACCTATACGCACATACTTTCTGTTCTCCGAATTAGAGTTGTTGGAATTACTGTTAGTAGCAAGATAAGAAAAAATGCTATCAGAGGAGCATCAAGGCCAGAATACAGTGTAGACACAGAGTTAAATCATTAATTTGACTCTCACCACCGGCAGAAAACTTGTTGATAAAAGACGATAGGAAGGTATAGTTTGGGTCCCACGTACGGACTCCCTTGTGACCATGAGTAGTTCTCTGGGTGTCACCAACGTCACTCATAAAATGGCATCAGCAATGCCGCCTTGCCAGATCACCACTCTATCTACAACGTTAATATTAACCTACACAGCCGAAAACTCTTAACATAACAATTGTTAATATCTCCACTAACACGGGTATTCTTATGCGCATATCCAGGGCCTGAGTCTCCTGAACTTTGTGAGAACTTACAGACTAAATTAAAGAATTACTTGCAAAATACAAAATTCATTCTTTCCCTAAATATTCCTCTAGAGAACACATCTAGAGTTACCCTGAACTGTCAGAAAACTGTGTCAGCTGGAATCACACGAATTTGGCCCATCACACTATAATCACTTCGGTCAAACAACACCTTAGTTTTAGGTCATTATAGTATTAGAAGTATCAATAAGCAGTTATACTTTTTGTATTTTCTGTAAAAGTGATGGTG